TACACTTTAACCTACAAAAACAAGCCAAGATGCTGTTGATTTGACAATGGAAGCGATCCAATTCGGTGCCCCAGCATCTAGTAGCAGTGATAATGAGGGTACACCATCCCTCTCTGAGAAGACATCCGAGAACCTTCCTGAACCTAAAGAGCAGAGACAGAAGCAACCCAGAGCTGGACCAATTAAGACCCAGAAGGTAAATTAATAAGTGCATAGATTGTTTTAGTTCATGCCTTCTTATTTTTCCCCATCACTGCGTATGAAATAAAAATCCATTGCATCTCTTTAAAACGATTGACAGTTTAAAAAATGTACTGTATTGAATCTTAGTGTTTCTTGCGCATCAATGAGTTTGGGATACTACACGGTACCAGTGTAATCTTTGGCTCCCACTGAAACAAACGCTTTAGATGCTCTTTTTGAAGGAGCTGTAAAGGTCCCCTTTAGGTTGGCTTGATGCAGGTCACTGCACCAAAATGCAGCAGGGTTTTTTTCCACTGCTGTGTATTGATGTGGAAATGTCCTAATGAAAACTTATGAAATGTTTGTAGTACGTGCATTTTGACCGTTTTTTAGAAGATTTTAAAGCATGCCTTAAAAATGTGATTCTTTGATTTTTATTAATGTCGGCTATAGCTAGTAAGTGCCCACTTTAGGACTATTTTAATTATGCTCAGACTTAAGATCTCCCAAGGACCTGTACACATCCGTTTTAAAAGTACTTATTTGGTTATTGGAAATTCTTTAATGTTCATTTTTTTTTTTTTTCCTAAGTATTATTTCCGCTAACTATGATAACGTGGCTTATTTTTTTTTTAACATTTGTTCTCTTTTTTAGCTGTCTGAAATGCTTTTTTTGTTTTACTGATAACACGTCCTCAGAAGTAACACTTTATTACCCATACAGATCCAAGATCTCAATGTTGTTCAGAGTAAAGAGTACAAGCCAGGGCCTATTGGTAAGGAGCGATCACTTAAAAACCGTAAAGTTAAAGAGGTGCAGTCTGAACCAGAGTCCCAGGAGAAACAGATGCCAGCCACAGTTCGAACACCAGAACCGGTTCCGACAAAGGAGAGCAAAGTCATACCAGAAGTGGCCCCTGAAATCACCAGCATACTTTCTGTGTCTGCACCGGAATTTGGAGTTAGCACCAAGGTAATGAAACACTGGACATCTGTTCCAGTAACAACTGTTTACGGTTTTACATTTATAGTTTTCCAATTGTTTCCTGTTGCATCTTCTGGACAGGAAATGATGGGAAATTTCCTTAGGACAGACAGCAAAAAAAATAAACCAACACAGGGTTTTAATCCTTCCCTGCTTTTATCTAAATCTAAAAAATAAAGTGTTTTGGCTTTACATACACTTCAGTGCATACAGTAGTATAGATTGTAGGTTGGAGGTAGAGGAGATATTGCTGTCTGGAGTTTTAACTTCAAGCTTTATAAATGGTTGTGTGTACTTTATTTTTGTTTGAAAATGTTAATACATTTTTGAGTATTTGAGAGAAGCATGAAACCATTGCTGACCTTTTTGAAATGCTAGTTGGGCAACTGCCATGCTGCTTCAGTAGTTTGGGACACTTCTCTGAATAGGCATGCAGTTGAGGACTTAATTTGCTGCAGACTTGTTCTAGGTCAGTGACTCAAAGTATCAAGCCAGGCAACCAGCATTTTGAGGTCAGGAATGGCTGCCCACTTAATTCTGTGATATGTTTACTTGTGATCAATATCCTTTAATTCAGTGTCTTGTGGGGTTTTTTTTTTATTTTTTCCTCTTGCCAACTTTAGGAGAGTGTAACAGATTACACTAGCCCATCAGGTGCCCTTTCAAATACAGCACCTTCAGGAAGCTCTAAACTGGAATCTTCACTGGTGCCTAATGTAAGTCATTCTATTTCTGATCTTGACTATCTTATTGACTTGTAAAATTTGTCATGAACGTACATTTATTTTAATTGTGAATGTACTTCATTTTTCAGGTACCTCTTCCCCATACTCTTCCTCTGTCTCGGAGAGAGACTCTTCAGCAGAGCACAAGCCTAACACCTGTATCTCCTGCCACTGTTGACCTCACTCTAAAGGTATATTATAGAATTATGTTGCATGCAGATGTAAGGTAACATTAAATGTTTTGGGGTTCATTCATCCTGCTGCATTAAAAAAAACAATCTTGGTTCTCAGAGGCATTTGAGAGACTACCCCTTTTTGACAGATGTAGTCTCTAAATGATAAATTGCTTAATCTGATTATGTGTTGTAATATAGATAATTTTGTGATTTTATTATACAGTTATACATAATGTATAATGATATTTAATTATACAGTCTAGATCTTTACATGACTAGTTTTATTAAAACTTAGCAGTTGCATCCTAGAAAATGCCACATAAAGCAGGTGGATTAGTATGTCTTCTGCAAATGTCATCTGCATTTACCTTTCACTGTCTTAAATTGGCTTCTGCCAAATTATCTGGGTTCAGATTGGTAATAACACCGGGCAAGAGATGCAGAAAATGTTTCTCCTCCCATTTACATAAATGTGAACGGGAAATGTGGACTTGTCTGTAGCTGAATTGTACTTAGACAGGGGGCCTGTACACATTTGCCACAGACATACCCATGGAGTCCCTTTTAAAGACTGTTGATAAGGGAAACCTATACAAAGTTTTAAATGCAACACCTTGACATTTGCAGATAATGACTACATTTCACAATATATTTGGGCATCATAAATATACATGTATTGGAGGGCTGCAGATGAGGTTTATTGGCAAGCAGTGTTGAATTCTTTAAAGCTTTCTAGTCCATGTTTGTTTAAAATGACTGATGTGATTGTTTGACATGTAGCAAGCCAGTAAGGATTGTTAAATTGTAATTTCTCCAGATGGAGTCGGCTCGCAAAGCATGGGAGAACTCCCCAAGTGTTGCCGAGAAGGGAACCCCTATCACTTCTGCTGCACCTCCCACTAGTACATCGGCAGTAGGGGTCCCCACTAATGGCAACAGTGGGGTTGGTGGAGTGCCTACAAATGGTGGCAGTGCTGGTCCGCCTCCTACAAGCAGTGTACCTTACAATTCCTTTTCCAGTTCCTCTATGCCTCCCATTCCAGTTGCTTCAGTAACACCAACAACGTCTTTGTCAGGTAGGTAACCGTTCAGAGGCGTGTTTTTTTTTTTTGTCCCCCCTACATTTTAATCTTGTCACTTTTATTTCACTGGGATGCTGTTTTTATCATCCTATGTAGGAGCTGGAACATATACCACCGCCTCACTCAGCACAAAAGCGACAACAACATCTGACCCTCCAAATATCTGCAAGGTGAAGCCGCAACAACTTCAGAGCAGCAACAGCATGCCCTCCCCTAGTCACTTCTCCCAGCTTAGCTGTATGCCATCACTCATGGCGCAGCAGCAGAATCCGCAGGTGTATGTCTCTCAGTCTGCAGCTGGTATGTTCCATTAATTAATTTAAAAATGGTTTATCCTACTATGTAAACATGAGTGATTTTTCTGAGTGACAGTGATGCGTGTGTGGGTGTAATGTATATATGCGTGTTAATATATATATATATATCTATCTATCTATATATATCTATATATATCTATATATATATAGATAGATAGATAGATAGATATATAGATATAGATAGATATATATAAATTTGTATAATTATTTGTAGAATTAGGCAGATCCCATGGGCCTGAAAAGCAGTACACCTAGGACAAAAACAGTTGCACTTAACTGTGGCTCTTCTCTCCTAGTCATTAGATGTTCCATGACTATCTAGAGCTCACCACAAACATTACAATCGGACTGTAAAATCTCCCCTAGATCTATCAACAACTGTAGAGGAGGGGGTTGTTGGATAGCTTAGGTAGGTTCTCAAAGTACATAGTTTTAGTAAATCTAAAGTTGATTGGACAGTCATATTTTAACGTGTGGTGAGGTTTAAGCAGTCCACTGACCCCTGGGCTACTTCGTTACTACATAGATATACTCCCCTTCTTAAGTTTCCATGCATAAGTTTACAGTCATTATTAAGTGCCATACTTTTATTTTAAAATCATATTAGTAAAAAGGTTTTCCTTGTAAAGTTCACTCCCCTGAGTTTGTACAACACCCTCCTGTTGATACTGGATCTAGTATTACCCCATATATAGTAAACGACTTTCCTCCTGCATTTACCTACACGCATTAGAATGAACAGGGTTGGTCAAAACCCAAAAGAAATATAGTAGTTTCAGTAGAAAAGTCATTTTAATAGCATTAATATGACCGAATCACGAGATTCAGTACGTCTTCCGGGTTTCTAAAAAGGAATAGAGAGAATGCTTTGCTTTACATCATTCATTTTTTTTTTTGGGTGAACCAAGGACTGTTAGGTCTCCGCCTTAATCTGACATCCCCTGTACTGAGGCATGTTAGTTGAGGTCCTACCTTTTGGTTCTTACAGAAAGAGAACATGTCTATGGCAGGCCTATCCTAAGGTCTCTTGTAGGCTTCTGCGCTCTCTCCGTTGGACATTTGATCAGGGAGCTGTCAATCACTAAAATACTTAATTGAATAACTAGTTGAATCTCCTGCCTGGAAAACCTCTTGAAAAGATTTGTTAGCCCGTTATATTTTAGTCTGATGGGTTTTGTCTAGGTTCTCGTGTAGATCTCTTTATACAATGGCAGGCAGGTATGGGGACTTGGATATAAAGGTCTTGTAGCTGGCTATTCCAAGATAAGATATAAAAGCTGGTGGAATGTACGCAAAACGTAGTTGTCAGTTTTGAGATGACAAACTTTTTAGGTTTTGAATTGCACAAAATTTATCATTTCGTTGGTAGATTGACATTTGTCATATTTTCTCTAAAAGTTATTTTATTTTCCTGTGGAAAAGGTCCAACAGCACAAATTCCAGCATTCTATATGGACACAAGTCACCTATTTAATACACAACATGCACGAATGGCTCCTCCAACTTTAACACAGCAGCAGGGATTCCAGCCAGGACTCTCACAGGTAAGCATATTAATATTACCTTTTTTTTCCCCAATTGCTTGAACTAGATTGACTTTTTTGTGGTTTTTTCTTTTTTTTTTCTTTTTCAGCCTGACTAACCATGTAGTTGGCTTTGATATTGAATACATTTAGGTCTTTGAATTTTGTGAATCAAAATAAAAGCATTATCACCTTGATGTCGTTACAGTACAATGGTCCATTTGTTGCATTAATTTGCAGCTTTGAGATTTAATTCTGCCATCTGACCAGTTGTGGTTCCTCTGTATTTTTGTGTACCCCTTCACAATTAAAAACCATCCTGGTAGCTCAATTAACAGTAGTTTTTGTGTGGCTGTTGGGGTGATGAACTGGAAGCAAAGGAAGGCACAGATATAGAGTTCTGTGTACATATATGTATGTGCCGTATTAAATGAAGAATAAAGCATGTCTTCATTTGTTTACATTGATTAAATGGTCAGTCAGATCTGGCAAACATGGACGCCTTCGGTAATAATAAAATCCCATATTTGTGAGATTTTGTATCCACGGTAGCCAGATATGTCAATTATAATTGCATCTTCTATAACTATATCTTTTTATATAAAAGCAGTACTCTTCTCTCTTTTCTATCTATTTTATGGATAGATGGTGTTTCTTTCACTGGGCGACTATTTGTATATAGGCAGCCATAGCAATAAACGGAATCAGTCTGTGACTTGATATTTACTGTGTGGGATTTTGTTTTTCTTCTAGATTCCTATTCCCATATATGCTCCTCTGCAAGGACAGCATCAGGCACAGCTTGGTCTAGCACCTGGTCCTTCTGTTTCTCAAGCTCAAGAATTATTTACTTCTTCTTTGCAACCTTACAGGTAAGACAAAAGTTTATTTTTGGATAAAGCGACCTGCCATCATTTTATATACATCTTTGGTCTGCTTCCAAAATTGCGACACACAAACTATATGGACTTTAACTGTATTGGAAATGTGGCTTGTGTTAGGTAAGGGACCATCCTGTGTAATACTGAAGTGGCTAGCACGTTTGAAATGCAGCAAGTGAGTCTTGAATCCAGTACATTAAATTTTATATACAGCTGTTCATTTTTATTTTTTTTGGAGGCGGTTGGGGTTTTTCTTTTTTTACTTTGCCATCATTCTTATCCTATGCTGTAAAATGCATTCACAACATTTATTTTACTTTTGGATGGAGTGAAGGAGGTTTACAAGTCTTTTTTGTTGTCTTTGTTCCGACTAGGGAGATTTACTCCTCTGTTAGCCCTGATGACCGTTGTCACTGGAACAGGAAAAGGCCAAAAATGTTTTGGTTTTCACTAAACTGTAGCTAAGGGAAATCTTCCATAGGGGACACCTGTTTGGTGTCAGAAGGCATGTTTGACCATAATAGCAAGACAGGCTTCACAATGGAACAAAGATGGCAAAACATAATTTAGAGGAGTTTGACCATTCCTACTCCAAAAGAGAACCTTTTTTTTCTCTAGATGCACTTTACGTATTGAGTCATTGACCTTGAATAAATATATGCAATCAGTAGACTCCATTATAAAAAGTAGCAGATTATAACTTGGTAGCATCATGCTTGTATCGTGACAGGTTCTCCTTTATTTTGGGCTGTAAATAACCATCTACATCATGTGAATTCTCACTTTCAGTTGAGCCAGTGACAAGTCATGTTTCCCATTGGATGTGTTTTCATTTCGGTGTGCTTAAACCTGTTACAGGACTCAGCAAGCATTTCTACAGAGCAGTTTGTCTCAGCCTTCGCAAGTCGTCTTGTCTGGTGCTGCCTTGCATAATTTTCCGGGAGTGCAACACCAGGATCTGGCTAAAGCACAGAGTAGCCTAGCCTACCAACAGACCACCAACACACAGCATATTCCTATTTTATACGATCATCAGCTTGGCCAGTCTGGTTTGGGAGGATCGCAACTGATTGATACACACATTCTGCAGGTAAGGATGTTGCTATCTTTTGGCTGTGTACTGTAAAGATACTAAACATCTGTGTGGCATGCGTTTTTAACACATTTCTCAATCTAAATTATCCTCCACAGACACGTCAAGGTTTAGGTCAGCATTCAAACCTTTATTCTGGGCAACAGCCAAACCAGACAAGCTTCTACAGCACTGCCCAGTCTCCTACTGCACTTCAGCAGGTGAGCATAGGCAGGGTAATTATTTCCTGGATGTATGAAGTCTATGGAGTTCTTTTTTTGTCAACTACTTACTGACACTGACGGGAGTTGCTGTAAATCATAAAAATGCATTTTAGTACCCTAACTATTAACAGTAGTTGACCTTATTTGTGTATCGCTCAGCTGTAGATCCCCAAATCTCTGAATTGGTGCTGACACTGTCCTTCCTTCTGGAGGGTGGCTACTTTTGTTCCACATGGTCCCTGTGTGTGTTGTAAAGTAGCCACCATTCCAAGCTCACTCCCGTGGTGGACTACAAACTCAATACAAATTGGTAAACTAAACGGGAGCTGGTAGGCCGTCACGGAAGTGAACTTGGCGCTGTGGCTACTTTACAAAACACACCGGGACCATGGGGAACAAAAGTAGCCACCCTCCAGAAGGAAGGACAGCGTCGGCATGATTTCAGAGATGATTTGAGCATCTACATCTGAGTGATACACAAATAAGGTACAGTATTGATAATAGTTCCTTGAATGTGTTTTTAGAATTTAACTCCTTTAGTGTCACTTTAAGCCGAGAAAATGTATTCCAACACAACTGCTTTTATTCCCTGAGTTGGAGAGGCGCTCTCCTCAGAGGCAAATAATCTGCAATATAGTCACAATGTGTATCACCTGCATTTCCTTAGCACCGTTTCTCTGCTTCTTTAATGCATATGTGCACATGATCTTCTATATGTGAGTAGCTGCACCCAGAACAGGTTGTTCCATTTTGGTTGAAGTGGGCCTTCCATGAAATTAAGTTCATAATTGTGACAAAGTGGTTGCCTACTATTTCTTCTGTGGCCATAACAAGTCACAATTAGTTTACTATGTTAAGTAGCAATGTCACTCCGTCCTGCTTATGACAGCAGTTTTCACACTTTGTGAAAGGCTGCAGTGGGAGCAGGAGAAGATCTAGAAGATCCTAAAAAGCAATAACATCCCACTGACGCAGTCCGTTTTGGGTGAAGTTGAGGAAAATCTTCATATAGAGTAAAGAAAGTGCACATGCATTTTAAACCACCTTTCTTTGTTTTTATTTTCTCCCCATTAGCTGACGCACAAGACTGTCTTGCATCTGACTTGCTTACCAAATAGAACCTTTCAGCAATGATAGCCTGTTTTGGTGTATTGCTGCTTGCTACATGTCTAGCTTTTTGGCCTAACTATTGTGTTTTACCTTGTACTCTTCTATGATCATTCTCAAATCTGAAAGTTTATGATTTATATACTAACCAGTCCAGCAACTGAACACACTCTAATGTCCTATGCAGTTGATTAGGTTATTCAGACACAGATTCTAAATCTGACAGAAGATTGCCATCGTAGAACCTTCACGGTTAACATGACATTAAACAAAGTTCTATTGGGGAACACAAGGACTTTGGGGCGACGCTTTCCTTACAACAAGGCACATCACTTGAATGCGCTAACTTCTCCTTTATCCCTTCACCATACTCAATTCAGAATTTGTACTGTCAGTTTGAGCTTTGATTTGTCAACTGTTTTTTAAGCTTTCACTTTAATCACTGTGTTTGTACTAGTGAAATTATCTTGACCTTGTACTTCCAGATGACGGTATCAATGCAAGGATCACAACTGTCCTTGCCCAACTTTGGTTCAACAGGGGGGCAGCCTCTAATTGCTTTATCTCAAACCATGCCCCCTGCACCTCAAATGCAACACCAGAGTCTCTCTAGGACAGGCCAAGTGAGCCAGGCTTACCGAGGCCTAATCCCTTCTGGCAATCAGCATGGAATGATGGCTGCACCTGGCAAGGTGACAACTGCAATTATTGTGTTTTGGGTTTTTTAGTAATTTTCGAGCAGCTAAGATGTATTCAAAACGGTTGTAATGAAGAGGGCAATAAAGCCCAAAACTCTCGGCTAAAAATGCTATGAAATAACTACTGCCTTCTTAAAGTGGAAGGACTTGACATATTGCTTAACTCCTGCCCATTGAGGAGATATGCAAATTGTTGGTTATGTCCCCGTGGACAATTCTACATCTATAGTCTTTGGTTAAGAGCATAATGAAAGCTGTTTTAAGCATGTATCTAGGTAAGCACACAATGATTTCCATTTCTCCAGCTACTACCTCAAAATGAGGGTTAAGTCCATGTTTTTGTGCTTCAGGTTGAAGAATATGAAATGGGAAGAGTGGGTGGAGAATACGTACAGTATATGGCCAACAGTTTGTGGACATGTGACATGTTCACACTTTGAGCTTGTAGGACATTGCATTCCAAAGCAACGTGCATAAATATAGAGTTGCCCCTCTCTTGTAATTAGAACAGACTGCACTCTTTGGGGAACGCTTTCTGAAGAATTTTCAGAGAGGGTTTGTGGGAACTTGTTGCCATCAAGGAAAATGCATAGTCATGCTAGTACAGAAAACCGCATTCTCTAAACTGTTTCCGCAAGGTAAGAAGGCCGCATGTGTCTAAAATGTCATATGATGTAGCATTACCCGAAACCTTCCCTGAAAACACCCGAGCTACATAATTTAGAGGGGTGTGCTTTTGGCCATATGGTAGACTTGATGGTCAGGTGTCTATATAGTGTATACTGTGTGAGAGTGACTGTCAGTGGGTTATTTCACTTTTTGCTCTTCTGTTCTGCCAATGGGGAGCGGCAACTCCCACGCTGGGGTTTATCATTTATAGAAAATATACTTTTACTCCATTGTGCCTGTGCCCCAAATGTATTTATAAGAAAAACAATCTTTTCTAGTTTGTGGACTTGAACGACCACATTTTACTAAGAGGCGGGGCATACAAAATTGGTATTCCATTTGTTGCTGCGGTCTTTCATGCTAATTCATTATCTACCTGGCTTTTTTTTGTTACCGAGATTTCAACAGCAAATCTCCTTGCGATAGTTTTCAGCTTTGACACATTCCACTTCCTTCCCCTGCCCCCACACAGATATCAAAGCCATTCACCTTTGAAGTCTCACGTCTCACGCCTCATGCTTCCTTGGTTTCAAATAAATTAAATCCATAGAATTAATTTTAATGGCTGCAGCAGGTTTGCTGATCCCGGCATGGAATTGGTAAAGTCCTCAGTCAAAATAAACCAGCGGATGATTGAAGTAACCTGCCTCTACCAAAAATTGTAATATCAGTTTGGGGTAGATGAGTACTTTAAAGGGATATTGTGTTGTAAATCCACTTGACATATGTTAAATGTACTTGTGTATTTGTTATTAGATTGTAAGTTGCATTGCTGTATGTATAAATAAGTTCAAATCCAGTAAGGATGGCTGACAATGCAAGAATGGCTTTGGCCTACTAATACTTGGAATAAATTTGTGTATGTGATTTGCATATATTTTGAACTAAAGCAGAGCTATGGGGCAATGCTTTTTTGCCTATAGTTCTCTTTAGGTTCACTAAAAAACTGTCTCATGACACTGAAAAAAAGTATTGGTAATTGGTATCGGTGAGTAATTCAGGAAAGGTATCGGTGCATCCCTAATTGACCGTTCTGGTTTGATCATCCCTAAACTGTTAATATTTTATTCATGGTTTTGTCTTTTTTTTTCTCTCCCGTTCATTGAAGGACACAGGGCAACAGATCGTAGATCCTGAATGGTAGGGTATATCGCCACCTGCAGGAGTAGGACGCTAGGCACATAACAAAAAGACAAGACAGCCTAGGGGCGGCCCCTGCTGTGGCCGATTACCTCAGTCGACAGTCGGTGGATCCGGGGGAGTGGTCTCTGCACCCGGAGGTTTTTCAGCAGCTCTGTCGTCGCTGGGGGACGCCGGAAGTGGATCTTCTGGCGTCTCGGTTCAACCGCAAAGTGGACAGGTTTGTGGCCCGGGCTCTGGATCCCTGGGCAGGGTGCGTGGATGCACTGGTGGCCTCTTGGGGCCACTGCGGCCTGATTTACGCCTTTCCTCCACTGTATCTGTTGCCTCGGCTGCTCCGTCGGATCGCGGTCGAGGGCGTCAGTCGTCCTTGTGGCCCCGGATTGGCCTCGGCGGGCGTGGTACGCAGATGTGATTCAGCTGGTGGTGGACGCCCCGTGGCGCCTGCCTCTGCGCCCCGATCTTCTGTCCCAGGGTCCTGTGTTCCATCCTTCTTTACAGTCGCTAGCTTTGACGGCGTGGCTGTTGAGAGCCAGGTCCTGAGGGACCGGGGGTTGTCCGATGCGGTCATTTCCACTATGCTCAGAGCGCGCAAAGCGGTTTCCAGGAAAATTTACCATCGTACCTGGAGGGCCTATTTTGCCTGGTGTGAGGCTGGGGCCTTGTCCCCACGTTTGTTTTCCATCAGCAGGATCCTTGCGTTCCTGCAGCGCGGGGTGGCTCAGGGGCTGGCCTTGAGTACTGTGAAGGGCCAAATCTCTGCCTTGGCGGTGCTTTTCCAGCGGCCTCTGGCGTCTAATGCTCTGGTTCGCACTTTTGTTCAGGGGGTGACGCGCATTGCTCCCCCTGTCCGCGCGCCTTTGGCTCCGTGGGATTTGAATCTCGTGTTTTCTGCGTTGCAGGGATCCCTGTTTGAACCTCTTCGGGAGATTCCACTTATATCTTTGTCACAGAAGGTGGCCTTTTTGGTGGCCATCTCTTCCGTTCGGCGGGTGTCAGAGTTGGCTGCCTTGTCTTGCAAGTCTCCGTTGCTGGTTTTGCATCGGGACAAGGCGGTTCTCCGTCCTCGGCCGGCATTCCTGCCAAAGGTTGTGTCGGCATTCCATCTGAATGAGGACATTGTCTTACCTTCCCTGTGTCCGAAGCCGGTCCATAGGAAGGAGCGTGCGCTCCACTGTTTGGATGTGGTTCACGCTCTTCGTGTTTATTTGGACACTGCGGCTTCTTTCCGCGAGACCGACTCCCTGTTCGTGCTTACGGAGGGTCCTCGTAAGGGTCGGGCCGCGTCGGCGGCTACCATCTCTAGGTGGATTCGTACTGTTGTGACTCAGGCGTACGCCATTAAGGGGCGTGAGCCTCCATTTCCTGTCACTGCCCATTCTACTAGGGCTGTTGGGGCGTCCTGGGCTTTCCGCCATGGGGCCTCTGTTTCTCAGGTTTGTAAGGCCGCTACTTGGTCTTCTGTTCACACCTTTGTTAAATTTTACAAGGTGGACGTGTTCGCATCAGGGGATGCTGGTTTGGGGCGCAAAGTGTTGCAGGCGGCGCTTTGAGGGGTCTTTTGGGTGTTTTTTGTTTGTTGCCCATCCCTCAGTGTGTTACTGCTTGGTGACGTCCCTACCATTCAGGATCTACGATCTGTTGCCCTGTGTCCTTCAATGAACGGGAGAGAAAATAGGATTTTTGTACTCGCCGTAAAATCCTTTTCTCTCCGTTCATTGAAGGACACAGGCCCCGCCCTCTTTTATGGGGTGTGCACTCCTAACTGCTTGTTACTTACTGGAGACTTGTCAGCAAGTGAGGGGTTGGGCCATCAGCAGGTGCCGCCCCTAGGCTGTCTTGTCTTTTTGTTATGTGCCTAGCGTCCTACTCCTGCAGGTGGCGATATACCCTACCATTCAGGATCTACGATCTGTTGCCCTGTGTCCAATGAACGGAGAGAAAAGGATTTTACGGTGAGTACAAAAATCCTATTTTTTTTTTTTTTCATCCAGTGAACCTAAAGTTATTTCCCCTTAAACATTCTAAATATGGTCTGTCATTGCTTTTTCTAGATGTCGGATATGGAGCTGAAGCATTATGGCAGTGCTTTGGACCATGTGAAACCCGGTACACCTCCTATGATGGGAAGAAGCACCACACCAACTTCTAGTCCTTTCCGGTAAGTTTGTTAGCGAAGAATTTTATTACTGAGCTCTGAGCAATTAGTTCATTGGACTTCAGTTTAGGTGGCAAGTAGAGATTTTGTTAAACGTGTGCTTGCCATTGTATATGATGCCATGCTACTTTTGTTTGCCTTTCCAATAGTTTGTAGTAGGGATGCATATCTGTGCCGATACCGAGTATTTGGACTTGTACTTTTGGACTCATACTCGCCCAAATGCTCCCGATATCTGAACTTCCAGTATCCTGAAGCCAGGCGGCGAGTCATTACACGTGCCCAGCTTCCTAAATGGCCGCTAAGCGGCTCAATGCTCCCTCGTCACCAGGGAACATGGAGCTCGCTTCCCGGCCAGCCATGTCGTGGGTAATGACTCGCCCCCCCCAGCTTCCTGATTGGGTGGGAAGCCAGCTCCATAATCCCTCATCACTTGGTGTAATGCCTCGCCGCCCGGCTTCCTGATTGGTCAGAAAGCCAGGCAGCGAGTCATTACCCAGTCCTTGGCTTCCTGATTGGCCAGAAAGCCGGCTTCCTGCTTCCTTCTCACCTGGTGAGTAGGAAGCATGGAGACGGCTTCCCAGCTAATGGGGGAAGCCAAGAGGCAAGTCATTACACGTCACCCAGCTTCCTTAATGGGAATTCCAGTATTCGGTATCGGCGAGTACCAAGAAAAAAAACCCGCTACTCAATGCTGAAAAACTGATATCGGTGCATCAGTAGTTTATAGACTTAACAGTTTAAAATCTAATATTGTGGTATATTTTCTTGTGTTTTCTAGGGCCAATTCCACTAGCCCCAACAGTCAGTCAAGTAAAATGAATAGCTTGATTTACCAGAAACATCAGTTTACGTCCGCAGCCGCCAATGTAAGGATGGGTCAGCCTCCCTTCCCTACACAGTTCCCGCCTCAGGTAATGCAGAACTACCCACCTATTCTTTAATCTTTCAAGCATAAATGTTTTGTCTGGTCCTGACCCAAGCGTTAATTCCTATTGACTAATGGTTTTCTAAAAAGTTGCAGTCCACTTAAAGCTGTTGCTAAATCCCTCCAGTTGTTTCTTGGGTCGATCTCTGGTGAGCTCTGTGCCTGATTTCTGAGCTCTGCATACATGCTTTGGCAATTACAAATGTCCTACTTTCCCTATTGTATTTGTATTATCTTATATTCTGAAGACTGCAGCAGGAAGTGTGGGTGTAACTAGGTAGAGGCAGTCCCCGGGTTACAAACAAGATGGGGACTGTAGGTTTGTTTTGAATTTGTATGCAAGTCGGAACAGGTACATTTTTTAAGTGTAACTCCAGCCCAAAAATTCTTTAGTTTTGGATAGCATAGGGAAGGTTTACCCCCTGTAACATTTGTTTTGCTCTGTGTGCCCCTGTCCAGAAGATTTCACCTCACTTTCTGTCCCTGTGACAATTTGGATTTTGAAGATTTTGGGTTGTCGTGGAAACAAGGATTTTTCCCCTCCAGACAGTGTATTGTGTGCAATGACAGAGCTTCTGTTCACTGATCATGTTACAATGAATTACAGGGAGGGGGGCAGCTAACTACTATCCAACCCCCCGTGTCTGACTGAATTTCCTGTGGGGAAGATTTACAATTTTTAGGCTTCAGGCCTAATTAAACCTTCATTAAAAAAAATGAAGAAAGCCTGCAATGTGACTCATGAAAATGTATACATCACCACTGCACCTCTTCATTGCCATAGTAAAATGCAAATCACTTACAAATGTGGAAATGGACTTTAAGGCTCCATTCACACCTAGGCATTTTGTCACTCAAAGCAAAGCATGATAAAACTATCAAGATAAGGAGTCCCATTCATTTCTAAAGGTGCCCATACACTGCACGATTATCGTACGATAATCGTATGCGATCGGGTTTTCGTACGATAATCGAGCAGTGTGAACGGAGACGTGCGACCGTTTCTACTGTACGGTCGCACGTCTTCTGTCGAACCAGCATGTTCGAAAACCAGCCGGGAATCGTACGATTCTCGGCTGGTTAGAACGGTGCTCGGAAGATAAATGCTGAACGGGCCGGTGTGCGCACGCGCACACTGCCCGTTCAGCATTGCGGTCATCGGAAGCCCGCCCCTCAGGAGGGCGGGCTTGCGATGATCGAGAGTGCGATCTGCCTGTCCAAGATGGGCAGATTGTACGTTTTTTTTAATCCCTTTACAACCATCGCAAGACTAAAGTCTTGCGATGGTTGTAGAGTGTATGGCCACCTTTAGGCTCCTGTTCACACCTGAACGAAGTTTCCCGTTGAAGTCTATGGGACCAAAAAGTAGCTCATGTACTTTTTTCCAGCAACGGATTTGTTTGTTTTTTTGTTTTTTTTTGCTTGCTTGCAACAAAACGCTCGGGTGTGAACAGGGAGTCATAGAAATGAATGGTTTTTCCAGCGACATGCATTTTGTTTATTGCGACAAAACGCTCCGATGTGAACAGGGCCATAGAAATGAATGGGTTTTTTTGGGAGGCATATTTTCTGAGCGTTTATAGGGCAAAAAAAGTGCTACAAAACGCTCAACATGAACCAGGCCTCGCACTTTGAGATCAGAATGTGGAAATTGAGGTGATTTGTCATCAAGGCGTTTTAATAGCAAGAGGTTAAAGCCAATTCTGTAATTTAGACCTAACCACAGGCTGGTGGTAAGAGGATTCAAGGTTGTAGAATTGTTGAACAACACTGTGTAGTGTCAGGTAAAGCATATACAGCAGCATATGTGGGTTTAACATATCAAGGAGTCTTCTCCACACATCATGGTGATATTTTATCACTGCTAGAGAAAAGTTTGAGCCTGATGTGTGGCTAATTTATCACCGTGATGAGCAGCAGGGAAATTTCAGTGTGATATGTGGAGAGGAGTGGGGAAGGCTTGCACACAGATCTTCTTGGGAGCAGTGGTGTAACAATCGCCAAAGCGATTGGCATGTCGCTATGGCTATGGCATGTAAGGGTGCTGGCCGTCACTGACGCAGCTCAGCAGCGGTGTTTCCCCTCACAGCCGCTGCGGAGCTGGGTCAGTGACGGCCAGCAGCTACGGCAGAAGAGGCCAGCGTTCGCAGTGAAGGAGGAGGCGGGGCCCGCCTAAGAGCAACCCCTCCTCTTACATCACTGGCCAGCGACCATAGAGCAGGTGGGGCCAGTGATGTAAGAGGAGGCGGAGCAGAGGAGGCAGACAGCGCTGACAGGTAAGGTGTGCAGCCCATCTGACACCCTGCAGAGCCCACTATAGAGAGTCTATGGTGGGCTCTGCAGGGTCACTCTCAGGTGGGCTGTTTGGTATATCAGGTGGGCTCTGCAAGTGGCATAACTAGCAATCACGGGGCCCCATACAAAATGTTGCTATGGGGCGCTGTGATTTCTAGTTACGCCCCTGCTTGGGAGAAAATGTATTCATCTGATAGGCAGGGTTATAATATATTCCTCCCACATATGTGAATTAAAACTAAAAACATTTGATACAATTATCCCACATTGTGTTCCTAGTAATAGATTTGTGTTTTATACCAGGCATTTGTCTTACTACACTTGCTTAGCTGTTGAATATCTTTTTCTCTTGCAGTAGACTTTTTGAAAACTTGTTCCTTATTTTGTGACCTTTTTCTGAGTTTTACTGGAATACAAGTAGAAAAACTGAAGTTCATTGCAAACGGATATTAACAAAACCTGCTTTTTTTTTTTTTTTTTTTTTTTTTTTTTTTTT